GATAAACTGTATTTCTCTCAGGATTAGGAAATCACCTTAAAGTTAAATGAAGCATCTCAATCTGTTTTTCTGGATAAAATACTAAGAAGTTTGAAGTGTTTTAATATTCATGATTATTGTGCCAGAACCACAAATAATTCATGACTTAACATGACAAGAATAAAACACAACACTCTGAACTAAATGTCATTTTTCTACGTTCAAAGCTTCTATTGAGGTTTTTGAATGTAGCTTTGAATGTGTGTTGTCTTTACTTATGGCGACATCACCGTAAACAAAACCCAAAGAATCCTCGAAAAAAATCCTCAATTTGAAGAAAGTAATTCATCAAATTAAATGAGTTAGTATCTTTTTCGGTGTGTGAAAATGTATTTTTAAAGAATAAATGCCAACAAATATGGATTAAAGCAGAATATTTTGTTGACTAAAAACATGTGAATGTTGGAAATTATTTTTTTTAAATACATTTTGGTTCTGGAGTTGTTGGGAAATTGGAAACAGTCCTTGGCAGCCACGACTAGAATACAATTCAACAAATAGGGTAACCTGATCTTTATCTGCAACTGTGACGAAAACACCAGAAACACTTAAAAAAAGCTGCGCAGCATATCGATGTAGATTTAGAATTTGAACGTCAACGTGATGAATGAGGCGTCAAAGCTTTTCAGCACAGCCCAACAAGATGTATAAATATTTGACTGTATGAGTCTGTTAATGTTGTCTGTCTAAAAGGTTGAATGGTTACACTACACGGTCTGAACGGTTTCATCTTAAAGAATTCAATGATGGTCCAGGAATCCGATGGCAGGAGGGAACCCTGACTGAGCATCTTCCACTAGACGGCCTCACTCATGCACATCCTCCATCACTCTAATGAAGCAGCCTATAGTCAGCAGGAGTTAATCCAGACCTTTATTACAGGACCTGTCCAGACCCGGCAATAAGTCTGACGCCAGACGGGTGCTGCAGCACAAAGCTCCACTAAGGAGAGAATACCTGCCCTGTGCTAATTAGGACGTTTAAGAGCTCTTTTATGGATCATGTTTGGCTTTTATGATGCCCGAAGCTTAAAAACAGACGTTTTTCCTGCACATCTCACAGTGTGTTTCTGTCTGTTCGTCTCTGTTTATGTAACTTCCTGCTTCAGCTCCTCTAGCCTGTTCCCATAATTACAAGTCAGTGCTGGGTCAACATGCCTGGTTAAACGAGGGTTAAATGAAATGTATAAACAACAAAGCTGGAAGTGTGAGAACATCTGCAGGACGTTAGGACAGTGAGAGAGAGGACAGGAAGTGGCTGGGATTGGCTAACGGACATAAAAGCCTGGGTATGTGTGTGTGTGTGTTTTGCTTCTGCTGCACCTGCAGGGGTCTTGTCCGGGCCCCGGGGATCTGGATCTGGGACATTATACATGAGGGTTTCACCCGGTCCACTGCCCTGCTGAGGGTTTTCCTTCCACTGACCGCAGCCGGACTCTGCAACGTTCTGAGAGGACGGAAAACTGGGATCGGTTGCAGCCATTTTTGCTGGACTGGGATCCTGATGTTTAAACAAACAAAAACATTCAATAACATGTTTTCTTATTCATGTCTCATCTCAATTCCCCAAAGCCCAAGATGATAGTTATAGAACCAACAGTCCAAAACCAAAACTGATTCAGTTTAGAGCTGAAATGATTCATCAGTTAATATATTATTTGATAACTATTTGATCATTTTCAGATTAATGTGAGATTAATTGTTCCAGTTAAAAGTTACAGCCCCATATCCTCTTGTTCCAGCTCCTTGATTGTGAGGATTTGCTGCTTTATATTTAAGGTTTAGGATTGAAAACAAGCAACTTGATGCTGTGATCTGACATTATTATACTGAACAGTTAATCAATTAAAATTTATCGGCAGACTAATACGCAAAAAAAAGAATCTTTAGTTGTTGTCATAATTAAATTTACAAATATAAAAGCACAGAAAAGCACAATTCCACACATTTAAACGAAAGCTTGTTGGAAGCAACAGAGAAAAAAGCCAAAATGGAAAAGGGTTCATCCTCTGGAGAACATGAAACTCTGCTCAAAAGAGTTTCATATTTCTTGCCTTGCTAACAGCTTTAAGGACGGCAATGGTTGGTCCACCACTCTGGTCCAGACTGAAATATCTCAACGACTTGATGGATAGCAATGTTATTTGGTTCATTCATGGTGCCCAGAGGATGAATCATACTGATTGGTGATCCTCTGCCTTGTACTTTCCCGTTACCAGGAGGTTGACATTGGTGGTTTCTCAACAACAAATGCTTTATATCTATGTTCCCCTCAGCATGAAATGCAAAAACTTTGATGATCCAAGACGAAAGGTTAGCGGGTCGCCAAAAACAACATGATGTATCCTCTGAGGACCATGAATATCTATATTGAATTGTATGGCAATGGCAATTTGATGGACATTTGCTTTGCTACCTGGGTGGCAACAGGTTCCACTTTGCGTTTTTTCTTCTGAGTCTGCCGGTTAGTCCGCAGATAGACGGCGAGCTGTTCGGTCCACCTGGTAAAAGAAAGACATCGGTTACAGAGAAACCTTGTTACATGCTGCTCCTGTAATTTCTCTGCAGTTTTATATACCGACCCATTAATGATCTCTTTATTGTCCCCACGGATGAATATTTCCTGCTCCGGTGTGACGATGCAGAGCGCGTTTCTTTGGCCCGTCTTGGGCTCTGCATCCGCGACGTCTGAGCACAGATTGAGGTTCACCGTACCCTGTGGCAGAGTGCTCGGCTGGAAGGGGGAATCAGAGCAACTGAATTATTCTGGTGAGCTAGTTACAAGATCTGACTGATCCCCAGATGAGTGACAGTAAAACAGAGAGCAGTTTGTGGTGTTGAGTGTGCAATGAAAGAGATTTGAGGGGATCAGAGAGAGAGAGAGAGAGAGAGAGAGAGAGAGAGAGAGAGAGAGAGAG